AAAGTAGAAAGCCTAATATGGATGAAATTATGCAGAAGTGGGAGACTTTGAAGTGTGAGTGGTACAATAACAAACCGATGTCTAATCTTATGCTTTTGTGGGATCAAATAAAGGCTGATTGGGAGAGAATCAGACCACAATTTTTTGCCAATGAATCATTCCAGAACAGGCTTAACCTGGAATGTAGTTATGGAGGTTATTCAACCTCGTTTGACAAGGTTGTGCAGCAGTTTGATAGTTTTAAGTTTCCCATAGGGGACGACTATTCCAAGCTGCAAAACTACCTGAAGACTCTTCTTTCTCTTATGGACAGAGTAATCATTGAACAAAGTTAGTTGCGTGATGAATTCAACAAGTTGAAGAATGATCTCATTGGACTCTGTGGTCTTTTGCCTGAGTACCTTATAGTTATCTCTGATACTGATGATGATGAGATATTTAGAGAAATTGAGGAGTACTGTGATGATGATGATGGTGATGAAGCATAGTGTTTGTAATCCCTTTTTTATGTTTTAATGCTGTGCTTTTTTGTTTACTTCAGCATATTCATTAGAGAATATGCTGAAGTTATTAGGTTCATTTTGTATAACTTCATCCCAGAGATGCTGAAGTTTTTGTTTGTACTTTGTGTGTTGTCCTCATCTCTTTCTGTATCAATGTAATTCTCATCCTCTTTCTTCTTAACTTTCTGTTGCATTATCCTTGTTATTGTTGGTATTTGCTTTTTTACTTCTAGTCAGTTCTGAGTTAATACAATTAGTTGGTTTTTATGTTTAGTTTTTATAATCATTTTTATGTTTTCTGTGCTTTTTTGTTTACTTCAGCATATTCATTAGTGAATATGCTAAAGTTATTAAGTTCATTTTCTATAACTTCAACCTAGAGATGCTGAAGCTTTTTTTTGTACATGCGTTTCTTTTGTGTGCTGTACTCGTATGTGTGTGTGTGTGTATGTAACGACCCGACCGATCATTTTGTGCTTTTGTACTTTGCTCGCCAGTTCTCGGACATGACTAGCCCCGTATTATGCATTGTGACTTATGTAAGTCATCGGTTTTGGTTTTCAGGTTAATTGAAATAGTCATGGAAGGACAGTTCTCAGTTTGAAGCTTGAAATTTAAAAGGTTTGACAAAGATTTGACTTGTTTGTATGTGATCTCGGAATGGAATTTTTATGATTTGGTTAGCTCCGTTAGATGATTTGGGGTTTAGGAGTGTGATCGGAATGTGTTTTGGAGGTCCGGAGTAGAATTAGGCTTGAATTGGCGAAATTAAGTTTTTGGCATTTTCTGGTTGATAGGCGAGATTTTGATATAGGGGTCGGAATGGAATTCCGGAAGTTGCAATAGCTTCATTATGTCATTTTGGGGTGTGTGTGCAAAATTTCAGGTCATTCGGACGTGGTTTGGTATACTTTTTTATCAAAAGCGGAATGCGTAAGATTTTAGAACCTTAGGCTTGAATTCGATGTGTTTTGGTGGTTTTCATGTTGTTTGAAGTGTTTTGAAGATTGGTACAAGTTTGAATAAGGTTATGGGATATGTTTGTGCTTTTGTTTGATGTCCCGGGGGCCTCGGGGTGATTTCGGATGGTCGATAGGGAGTTTGAGGAATTGTTGCAGCTGCAGATTGTGCTGCTTCCGGTATTTCCGCAGCGGCGGATTGGGGACCGCGGGTGCGGCGCCGCATATGCGAAAGATGGGCCGCAGAAGCGGCCAAAGGTGCGTTTGACAGGAAAACGCAGAAGCGGCTAGGAGGACCGCATCTGCGATGTCGTAGATGCAGGTGTAGAACCGCAGATGCGGATAATGGGAAGCTTAGGTGATTTCCGCATAAGCGGATCAAGAGCCGCAAATGCAGTACCGCAGATGCGGTGGAATGACCGCAGATGCGAAAATGTCTGGACAGAACATATAAGTTATTTCCTTCACGATTTTCAGAGGGTTTCTTCACTTTTTAACACGAATTTGAGAGCTTTGGGCGATTTTGAAGAGAGAATTCAAGGAGAACTCATTAAGGCAAGAACTTTGGACTTAAAAACTCGATTCTATGGTATTAATGCATGGATTAGAGCTGTGATTAAAGGTAAAATTTGAGAAAACTAGGGCTTAGAAACCTAGGCCGTTGATTGAGGATTTGGAAGACCATTTGTGGTCGGATTTTGGAACTTTTTTTATGCATGAGCTCGTGGGGAGAAAAGGAATCTAATGACGTGAATTTTATCGAATTCCGCGATGTGAGCCCGGGGGTCGATTTTGGTTATTTCTGGAATTGTGATGTTTTTCAATTATTTTCGAGTGGGCTTCGTCCCTTTAGCATAAATTAATGGTTACGTCTGATTTTGGTAGATTCAGAGCATCCGAAGATCAATTCAAAGGGCAAAGGCATTGCGAGCTAGATTTCGGGCCGGATTGAGGTGAGTAATGATTTTAAATGTTGTCTTGAGGGTATAAAACCCCCGAAATTTCACAGCGTTCAGCTATTTTGAGGTGGGACACACACTAGACGACGAGTGTGGGGTCGTGCGCCATTGGGGATTGTGACTTAGTCCATTCCGAATGACTATTCCACTGCGTATTTGACAGTTAATTGTTTGATATTATTATATTTTGGACTAAATGTCATATTTGGGCTTCGTGCCAACTGTTTGAACCCTTAGGGGATTTTAAATGATATTTTCCTCACTGTTTGATTTCATACTTGTGCTCAGTCATGCCATATTTTCACCGTTTTAAAAACTTAGCTATGTTATTCTGTTTAAAACACTTAAAATTATATTTTCAAAGATATTTGAGCTGAGCTTCATATTTTACTGTTGCCAGAGGGGCTTATGAGATTCTGATAGAGTAAGGCCGAGGGCCTGTATTGTGAGGATACTTTTTAGGTCGGGCAGCACGCTGCAGCAGTGATACACTGATTATGATAATAAGGCCGAGGGCTTGAGATTGTATGCCACGAGGTGGCTTGTGATTGATATGAGGCCGAAAGCCTTTTTATGATGCCACGAGATGGCTTGATATTGCGCATGGGCCGTAAGGGGCCCCTCCCGGAGTCTGTACACCCCAAGTGAGTGCGGGTACCCATTGTGATATGGGATATAGCCCGAGGGGCTGATATGGTTCTGTGATATTGCCCGAGAGGCTCATTCTATTGTTGTTACTGAGCCCAAGGGGCAGTTCTTGTGTCTTTACCTTTCTAGCTGTTTTTCCTTTAATTGTTTAACTGCTTAAAAGGTGTTTATGAGATTTCACTATTTAATTGTGTTTACTGATTTTGTTGTGCCTCTCATAGCTTATTGTTGTGTTTAACGTGGTTTTATATGGCTCAGTCTTCATTTATTGTTATTACTCACTGAGTTGGAGTACTCACTTTACTCCCTGCACCCCTGTGTGCAGATTCGGGCGCTACAGGTCCTGCTACTGAGGGTTGATAGTTCCAACAGATCTTCGGAGATTTACTAGGTAGCTGCTTGGCGATTCGCAGCCCAGTGCATTCTCCCTCTATCTTAGTTCTCTTGATTCAGTGATGTAGTAGTGGGTTAGACTTTCAGACCGTAGTATTGTTTAGATGCTCATGACCGGTGACACCCCGATGTCGGGCTGTGTTGGTTTTTGTTTCGCAACTTATACTGTTATTTTGAGATTTAATTTCTGTTAAAGACTTAGTATTTATTTATTTAATTGCTTAAAGTGAATTTGAGGTGTGTCGGCTGGCCTTGTCTTCACAAGAGGCGCCATCACGACCGGATTTGGGTTTAGGGTCGTGACAGTGTATGTGTGTGTGTGTGTTTGTTAAGGATATGTGTTTCACATACTGTAACCTGAAGTGTTTTCCCGTTGAAGTCATTGCGTACTTTTTTAAAATGCAGCCAAACCTGTAAGCATACGCAACAAAAATGAATGATTTGTACTTTAGCAGTATATAAAATAGTCCAAGAGCTTATTTTTTTTGTTCCTATGAAAAAAATCACATTTCAAATATGCCATACAATAATGAAAGTCTAAATTCAGACCAAGGATTATTGAAAGTTGGAGTATTTTTCAGTGTGTTTCTTGGAATATGGATGAGGTGCTGGAGAAGACAAGCAAGTTGTTCTGTTATGCCCAACTTGTTTACATCGACCGCATTTGGTAGACTTCAATGGTACTGATTCAGTCGCAGGGATATGCCTCTTCTTTTGTCTTCTTCCTTGTAAAATCTCTACATCGGAAGGTTTTGTGACCTCAGATTGTACATTTTGTGGTATATCCCATGATTTTTGATCTCCCACAGTATTCGCATGTCCTTCATATGTTTTCAACCATGTTTCCTTTGAATACCAGTTGTTTGACCAAAAGGTATGAGACCTTTTATTAAATTAATTAAATAAAAGGATAGAGGATAAATCCTAGCCAAAGATAATTAACTCTAGATCAATGAATGCTAAATAAGAAAAGTTGGGTAAGGTTACGCTCATGAACTCATTAAGATAATGGAAAAATTCTAATGTATATGATGAGCTTACATTCATTCTCGACATCGTTACTCTTCTATCATTTACGATATGGATTCTCCAATTCCCTTCCCATGTCAGTAAAGAAGCGTGTGATTTTTTGGATCCCCCTTTTTTCATTTTCTCACCTAGTATATATACTAGTTATTCTCATTTACACAACGGTCATTAGCCAGAGTACCTAAGTCATTTAACTGTATTACAGGTTGACCATCTGAAATGCGCAATTCACCATACAATACATACATATATATATATATATATATATATATATATTATGCGCACACACATATTCTCTTGGAATTTGGTTTATAAATTTTTACAATATCCATAACTTTAGGCATTTAGTAGTCCAATTTTTTTTTTTGATAAAATTTAATCTTTATTTCCTGGGAAAAACCAATACATGCACTAATCTTTACAAAAAAACCCTCTCTATATAGTTGGACATGAAGCCCCAACCTATATTACTGCTTCCTAACACAACTCATCTACACATCAAGCTCTATCTAAGGATAGAAATTCAGTGCTTGTAGTTTCTTCTCCAATTTTATCCACTTTGAGCCTCTGCAATGTATGTCTTGAACGATCATTCTCACTAATTCTTCAGCTTTCCTTTTCTTCTTTCTGAAAATTCTCCAGTTCCTCTCTTGCCATAGGTAGTATACAGCTCCAGCTAGGATCATTCTATATATAGCTTCATCTGATTTACTCCCTGTTGCATATGTACTGGCCCAGCTTATTTCTTCCGACCATATCCTGGCTTTCCTTCCTATTCCAGCCCACTTCATTACTTTCTCCCACACATTGCTTGAATACTCGCACGTAAAGAATAGATGGTCATGGCTTTCATCAACTGCTTCACACAACACACATTCTGCACTTGTAATACTACCCCATTTCATCAATATGTCCTTAGTATATAGCCTGTTTTGGACAGCTATGTACATAATGAATATCCACCTTGGACTACTACAGTTGTTACAAATTAATCTCCTCCAAATGACCTTTGTGAATTCACCCCTCATCTTGTTATACACTTCTCTTATTGAGTAGTCCTTCCCAGACATTACTTCTTCAACATTGATTCTTGCTTCTGTCAGGTACTTCCCATCTTTTAAAATCTTCTGAGTTGTCCATGCTGCTTGATTAACCTTCACATTCCATGTTTTCTCTTTCTTTATATAGTAGATATGCATCAACTTGATCCATAATCTGTCCTTCTTATTGCATAGGTTCCACATTTGCTTCAGGATTGCTGCTTTGTTCCAAGTAACTATGTCTGTTATGTTCAAGCCTCCTGCAGTTTTTGGCCAACAAAGTTGTGTCCATGAGACCAAAGCCTTCTTGTTCCCCTCTACCTCCCCTGTCCATAGAAACTTTTTGCAGATGCTTTCAATCTTCATTAGGATCTTCTTTGGCAAAGGAAACACTTGCGACTAGAATGATTGGATAGATAGCAACACACTTTTAATCATTTGTAGTCTCCTTGCATAGGATAGAAATCTTGCAGTCCAGCTTTGCACTTTTGCTAGAATTTTGTCCAGCAAAGGGTTGACATTGGTTAACTGACAGTCTTTTAGCACTAAGTGGAACTCCTAAGTATCTGAAGGGTAATTTACCCAGGGAGAATCCCAAATTTGCCAATATTTGCTGCTGCACATGTCCTGGCACACCTCCAAAGTATATGCAACTCTTTCCTTGGTTTGCAACTAATCCTGAAGCTGAGGAGAACTGTTGAAAGCAGTCATTTAACATCTGTGCTGATTTGAGATCTCCTCTAAAGAAGAGTAGTCCAATTAATAATGAAGATTTGGATTCTTTAACAGAAAAAAAAAATCTTCGAATGTGATACAAAATTAATACATTATATTTTCTTCTTATCCTTTTAACTTTATCCTAAGTCTTTCCTAAATTCTTATTTTTGTTTTGTCTTACTTTGCTATATGTCTTTTTCTTAAGACGCCACTTTATTTTATATTTAAACTCACTCCGAAGTATAAATAGTCATATATTATCTCAATTTACGTTTTTTATATTTTTTATGTTGTTTCTATTATAAATTTTTAATTAATTTTTCACCTCCATATTTCTAGTTAATATATAACAAACCTATGAGTGGATCAATATATAGATATAAAATATAAATATAGATGTAGATACCAATATACATATGAATATAAATATAGATATATGAATTAGATTTGTCTAAAATCTATTTAGATTATGTAGAAGATTAATTCAACTACTTTCATTAATTATATTTTCATTTATAATCTCTAATTATTAATGTTGTCTTAAAATTGCCAAGTGTCTTCATTTTAGCTTGCCGGGTCTTACAGCTTGTTTGGATAGTTGTTCCCCGTTGTATCATATTATATTGTTATTCCAAAACAATGTTTGTTTTGATTGTTTCATTAAAATTAGTTGTAATGTATTGTTAAATCCATTGTTCCGGAACAATGAAAAGTCTCATTTTTTGAAATAACCGATTTGGTGTGTTGGGATTGTTCCTAATTTTCTTTTCAATTATGCCTTAACTTATTACTCCACAATTCTATTTTACCCATTACCTTTTTTTTTTCTATTTTAACACCTAATCTCCAACCTATAGCCTACTTTATTTTTTTCTAGAAATTCTGCCGGCAACGTTAAAGGTGTTTAGCCGTCTTCTCTTTTATTTTTTCTCCTAATTTGTGTAGTGATACATATATATACATGTCATCAGGTGCTAACTAAGGAAAGGAAATAAAAGAGATTCCTACAAATCTGCTATCTATATATGGGTTATGTGCACTACTAAGAAACAATCTATACTCATTGTGTAAAGTGTCTAGGTTCATTCTGTAACACTCCCCCTCAAGCTGGAGAATATATATTGATCATGCCCAGCTTGTTACAAAGGTAATCAACTCGAGTTCCATTCAATGCTTTAGTGAACAAATCAGCTAGCTGCTCTCCTATCTTCATGTAGCCAGTAGAAATCAAATTCTTCTGAATTTTCTCACGAATAAAATGACATTCAACTTAAATATGTTTGGTTCTTTCATTATACACTTGATTTGTGGCAATATGGAGTGCATCTTGATTATCACACTAGAGTTTTGATGGAGTAGGATGCTTCAAACCAATTTCAGTTAAAAGGTGATGTATCCACATTATCTCACATGTTGATTGTGCCATAGCTCTATACTTGGATTCTGCACTGGACCTAGATACAACATTTTATTTCTTACTTCTCCATGATACCAAGTTTTCACCAACAAATACACAGTAACCAGTAGTAGATCTTCTATCAATCTTGGATCCAGCCCAATCTGCATCTGCAAAACATTCAATGCGAGAATGACCATGATTGCTGTATAATATGCCAAGTCCAGGAGCTCATTTTAAGTATCATAGGATCTGCTCCAACGCCTCCCAATGTTTAGCTGTGGGCGCGGACATGAACTGGCTAACCATACTCACTGCAAAAGCAATATCTGGACGAGTCACGGTGAGATAGTTTAATCTCCCAACTAACCTCCTGTATCTATCTGGATCATTAAATGGATCGCCATCATCTTTCATAAGATGCAAATTAGGAACCATGGAGTAGTACAAGGCTTGGCAGCCAGCTTACTAGTTTCTGCTAGTAAGTCAAGAATATACTTTCTCTGAGATAGAAAAATTCCCTTCTTGCTTCTAGTTATTTCTACTCCCAAGAACTATTTCCGTTGTCCCAAGTCTTTTGTATGAAACTTAGTATGCAAGAAAGACTTGAGAGAAGAGATTCCTGCATAATCACTCCCTGTAATAACAATGTCATCCACATATACAACAAGGAGAATAGATCCAGCTGATGATTGCTTGTAGAAGACAGAATGATCATATTTGCTTTTTTTTTTTTCCAGCCCAAATTCTTGAATTGCTTCACTAAATTTACCAAACCAAGCCCGGGGACTTTGCTTCAATCCATATAAGGATTTCTTTAAATGACAGACCTTGCCATACTCCCCCTGAGCAACCAACCAGGTGGTTGCTCCATATATACCTTTTCATAAAGATCACCATGAAGAAAAGCATTCTTAATAGCCAATTGATGCAAAGGCCAATTCTCAGAAGCAACTAGAGAAATAAACAAGCGGACAGAAGTAAGTTTGGCAACCGGAGAGAAGGTGTCTGAATAATCCACCCCATAAGTCTGAGCATACCCGTTAGCCACAAGTCTGACCTTAAGTCTCGCCATAGAGCCATTAGGATTAACTTTAACCGTGAAGACCCACTTGCATCCCACTACTTTCTTTCCACTGGGTAAATCCACTAAATTCCAAGTGTGGTTTTTCTCTAAGGCATGTATTTCCTCAAGCATTGCTTCAGACCATCCAGGATGATTCAAAGCCTACTTCACCGTTTTGGGTATAGAAACAGAGTCTAGAGACACAATCAAAGATCTAGATGCAGGGGGACAAGTGGTCGTAGGAAACAAAATTAGAAATAGAATATGTGAATTTTCAAGTGCGTGTCTGCCGGAAAGTTTTGGTCAACTCCGCGAGACAAACTCAACTCCAGCGAAGCCACAAATGTGGCTCTGATACCATGTAATTAACAAGGTATGGAAGAATCAAATTGGTGTATTATTCCATGTAGCGCTACATGTATATGCATGTACATCAGGTGCTAACTAAGGAAAGAAAATAAAAGAGATCCCTACAAATCTGCTATCTATATATTGGTTATGTCACTACTAAGAAACAGTCTATATTCATTGTGTAAAGTGTCTAGGTTCATTCTGTAACAACTTCTAACTCAATTCTAATTAGTTGTGTTCCTTTGTTCTGCTTTTTTAAGGTGTTTTTTCCTTCTTGTGTTTTTTAAAAAAAAATATTTTATGTATATTTTTTGATAAATTTAATATTTAAACAGTTGAGGGTATTTTAGTAAACTTATTAGTTACAGTACAATACGATACAGTCAAAGCAAACAACAAAAATTATTTAACAATAACAAACAATACAATCTACCAAATATTATATTCATAAAACGATGCGATACAATACGATTCATTACAATACAATAGATTATAAAACGATGGGAACAATGATCCAAACAGAGTGTTAACCACAATGCATACTACCCTCCTTTTAATATAATATAGATTTCTAAGTAGATAATATGGTTGTTATCCATTTTTAAAAGCTTCATTATCCAACTGATTTTTTAGCTAATAATATGGATGAATAACTATTTTTTTTCTATTCACTTGGCCACCATAGTACAAGCTATTCTCTCCTAACCTTACTTGTGAAATTATACTGGATTGTTATTGTGCACCTAAACTAGTCTGAACATTACCACCATAGAAACAAAAACTAATAAGAAACTTATGGAATCTCACCCTTCCAGAATCAGATGACGGCAGAAGAAATGGTTCAACAATCCAAAACGAAGTATAATTAGACTAATTCAATTTTAATTTCCTAAACCGTCTCTCCATTTTTGGAATTCATTTTGGACAATATTTATAAATTATAACTGTATCCATATTGTCTGAACAGGTGGAAAACAGTAGACTGTCTTTTAGTGCCTTAAACGTTCCTTCATTGAAATCTTTGAAAGTTTCCAGAAGATTTATAGCTTGTTTGGCCGTTCTTATAGAGTCAGCTTATTTTAAAAAATATTTTTAATAAAAATACTTTTCAAATTTTTTTTAGAAACAATTCATAATTGGCTAATTAATTTTAAAAATATTTTTGAACAGTACTTAAGTTTGACCAAGTTTTATAAAATCTTTTAAGTATATTTTTTTCAAAAATATTTTTCAAAATAATATATTTGGGAAAAAAGTTACTTTTACTTTTTTTTCCTTATAAAAGTTTGGCGAAATACGTTTTAACTTTGAAAAAGTCTATTAAGCTACAAAAGAACAAAACTTTGACAATAAAATATGAACGCAATTAATTGGATTATTATATGTAGGCCCCAGCGAAAATATTTATTTTCAGATACAAGTTCAAAGCATATACCTTCACATCATTGCTTACGTGAGTTAATAGAAAAAAGAAAAAGAAAAACATCTAGATAATGAGCCACAAACGCCACGAGAAAAACATTACTTATTTCACACTATTACATCCATTATTACCATTTCTCTCTTGACAATTTTGAATAAAAGATCCCGACCGTAAATGTAATTAGCCAAAGTTACTTGAAATAATTTCATCATACTCTTACGAAAATACACAAATCTATAAGCGCAACAATGACAGAAACATTTGAAAAAAAAGCATTGCATAGCCGCGCTCAAAACAATAGCTGGAATATATATGCAAAAATTATACATATTTTATGTAGTCTACACTGTGTTAAAACAAAAATAATAAAACTATTAGAAGAAACAGAAAATTTGTAAACGATAAGAAATATT